CAGAGGATCACACCTGTGCAAATGCTGCTGTGCACCATCCCTCCTACTGCTTTCCTGAACTCACTAGATATCATCATGGAAGCACCAAGCGCATATTCATGTTAAGTTGCACAGCTGTAGTCACACACATATGAAGCTTTCTTCGGACTGAAGCCACATCCCCACCCCCGTTTCTGGTTTTCACCGACTAGAAAGCACTAAGGAAGCTGATCGTCTTTCAGAAGATGACACATTTTCTTTAACTCTCCTACCAGCAGCTTAGGAACAACAGAATTATTTTGGGGAACGCTGTTCAGTGGTCTGGCTGCAAACAGGAGGATGCTATCAAGCTATTTATCCCCAAATCCAGCCTTTTTTGAGCAAATACTCTACTGGGATATGCCTTATGAAGAAGTCATTAAAGTTCATTATTTTGTTCTATGTACAAAACAGCCTTTGGGAACAGCAAGAGAAAAATAGTGTGCAATGCCTTTGGGTGGATTTCGGTTAACCAAGGCCTAAGTCTGAGGAAGAGAGTTTTCTATAGCAAAGCCCAGGCTACCAGCTGCCAAACATAGTACAGAGATGATGGAAAGCCACAGGCTGCTTGGAAATCGGCTGCCTTCAGGGCAGACTGTGCATGTTCACTCGCTAAGTGACAGCACAGATGTAAGGACATTGAATGTTGGGTGGGTTTAAAGATCTTCATTCTAGGTTATGTCAAAATATCCACACAATGCTAGGGATATAGCCAAACTTTAGTTAGTCAGGCATTTGAGTTTCCATAGTTGCACTGAAACTTCAACAGATAATAGCTGTTATTTTCAACATTGCTGCCCCCAAGATTTACACACAGCGGTTTGTAGCTGAAAAGCTACGGCTGTTCTTTATTAGCTCCCAATCCAACAGAGTAACAAGCATATCCTTCAAGTCATCTCTATTTGGCAAAGCCAAGGAATATTCTAATTTCTAAATGTGTGCCTCAGGGTTTTTTTTTTAATTTCAAAACTGAACGCGCTAGGATATAATCATGTACTGAAAGTTGTGTCTAAGCACTTTTAGAGCCTGCCATGTGCTCGAGTGCTTGAGTAAATCAGGACTTCTGCAATTTAATTGCACTAAGTGGATGATAACAAGAGACAACAACAGGAATAAATCGTCTAACTGTGTTAAAGATCATGTGATTGACTCCAGACTTCAGCCATCCCAAACCTTCAGCAGGGTCAGGCGCTACACCCTTGTTCGCACAGAGTGATGCCTGCCTCCATAAATAGTGTCATCAAAGTGAAAGGGGCTGCCTCTGAAGTAACCTGCTGAGTACAAACACGTGTGCTGGAGCCTGGCCCACTCTGTAAAGTACAAAAGAGAGGTGAGGGAAGGAGAATTAGATTTTAAACAGATACTTGCCACTGCTGAATGGACAAAGGAGATTTATTCGTTAACACTTAATTTAGGCCATGTTGAAATGCCACGTTTGTGTGTGTATGAATAAAAACTAGCAAGAACACCATAATGGAGAAGAGCTTACTTCAGAAGCAGTTTACTAACTTATCACACCTGTTGTATCTCATGATAATTACAGTGAAACAATATGGAAATCGCAACAGTACTGAGATGCAGCACAGAGCAGCGAGAGCAAACATGCAACAGATTAAGGAAACAGAAGCAGAGCCAGTAAAATTGTAAACCTGCTTAAGGAGCACACTGTTGCCGTTACGAGAGTAGGAGCCAGTTCTGCATCCCGTTTTGTGCAGAGTATTGAGAGGGTGATAGGGTGGAGGGGAATCCTTTGGCAGCAGTCCAACTGCTTGGCCTGCCTCTTCTGCAAGGCCACCAACAAAATCCGTAGACAAGATGTAAATGTTGTGTGGTAAAACCAGTAAATGTTCTTCCCACTGCCTTGCTTGTCTTCAGCTCTCTGAACTCTCACAGAGTAGTGGACATAACCTTAAATGCCATGGCCAGTGGTCTCCCCCCCTCTGCCATGTAGGACCACCACTGGGGCTGATCCCCAAAGGGACTGAAGCACCCAGCTGCTGCAGCGGTGTTCACAAGCCTCGTTTATGCCATTCAGAGTGCAGAAGGGCAGAGTAAGGATAAAGTGTGAACAACGTCTCTAGCAGGAACAGCTGTGCTACTGTGCACAGTCCAACGCTCCCACGTGAAGTGAAATCTGTGGCAGTTTACCTTAAACCATAAACTGTGGCATTTTAGGAGTAAGAGTCCCTGGAGCGGGCTCTGTACCTTTCATCAGCAGAGTGATGCAGACAGCTGGAGATAGTAATGGCTTCAGCCATTGCCCCTGCTGAATGAGTCTCAACCCCAGACAATCATTTTACGAGATCTGTAGCTCGGTGTTTGGGAAGAGGGAGGTTGCAAATGCCTGGAACAGCCAGCACACAGAATGGGAAAAGAAAGAAGTGGCACTAAAAAAGTGGCATTTGAAGCCACTTTTCTTTCTTAGAGAAACTTCTTTGCAATCTTGAATTTCATGACACGTGAGACTACCAGTATGCATGCATTTCAACTAATGAATTATTTTTTCCATGGATCCTTTAATCTTTACTCTAGCAAATAAAACTTTCTTCCTATGAGCAGTGACTGTGGACTCTGGTCCACAGTTTTAGTGCCTTGGCCACTAGTCACCTGGTTTAAATACAAGCATAAAAATTTGGAGTGAATTAGACAAATGGTGGCTAAGAAAGCCCCTACATGAACAAAGAAGAACTGCAGAATCGTATTGCAGACACCTGGAAAGGCCTGGCTCCTATTTGCAAGAAATATATAAACAGTGTTCCAGGGAGACAAGTCTGTAGTAAAAACTAATGGCGAACAAACAGAATACTGCACTGAGTAGTTCAAGAGGAATCCTTTTAAACTTCTTTTTTTTTGAGGCACATGCTTCCCAAGCATTTTGATTTATTAGAACAATTCCTCTGTAAATTTACATTGCTAATCAAATCACGTGAATGATGGTAGGCTTTCTGGTCTTAGGAAAAGTACATTGCAGATTGAACAGACCCAGTTCTGTACACCAATAGGCAAGTGGCAAAATTCCCATTAATACAGAGAAATATAAATTAAAATATAAATTAAAAGCAGCAGGTCAAATTTGTTTCTACTGTTTACAACTATTTAAGAAAAAATACATCATCCAATTAAAGTCACTAAGCCTTATCTCAAGTATTTAAGTTAGATGACTAGGCTTACTGATACAACTAGTTCCACTAATGATATCAGAAAGAGTGCGGGGTATTCTGCAAGTAAAAACTTTCCCAGTGAATTCACTATCCTACACACTCCGTCACATACTTGAGAGGCACAAGAGAACAAGTATCTACCTTTGACAGAGGAGAGGACTCTGACAATTCCAAATAGGTCAATTTGAGAGAAACACTTAAGAAAGGTGGGCCCGTAGGCGTGGAAATACGGTTTGCTGATTCTCCCATTGACTGAGAAGGAGGCGAAACGTGATGTCCCAGAGACAGGCCAAAAATGGTATTGCTATGAAAAGCTATGAAAATATTTCATTGTAACTGTCCAAAAACATAGGGAGAGCTTCGTTTCCACTTGAAAGACAGATTTCCTTAAAGCTTGCTTAATATGCCAGGAAGGACTGTTCTCAAAGTCTGAGCCACCACACATAACGATACCACATTGTTTATACAATCATTTTAAATCTGGTAGTACACTAAGATATAAATAGTAATAGTAATTTAAAGGTGAATTATGTAGATACGATTAACGGTTAATTTACTCTAAATTGTATTTACCACATCATCAAGCAAAACATTCATCAATATAGCAGTTACTTGTGCAATAATCTTTCAAACAAATTGCATTCAATTTGTACTTCTAATCAGCCAGCTACATAATGCAATGTGAAGAGGTCAACTGGAACTGTATCCTACACATTCTATATCATCAGAACAGAGATTAGTCACAATTAGGTACCTAATCCACTTTATCTGTGTATGTTACCGCTATTGCTATTCTTTAAAATGCTAAAGGACAACGAAATGTATATAGGAAAGCTTCCTTAGCTTTCTCTGGGGACAAATTATTATAATATTTGCTCGTGCTCAAAAAGTCAAAGGATTTGCACTTTGCTTTACCCATTTGTTTAAAGGAAGGTTGTTTGCGATCTAAATATAAACGTAACTTCAGCAGTTGCATGCTCTATTAATTGACTCCTACCTGAGTCCCTTTATGTGATAAACATGCACAGCTAATAATCAATGATATGGCAACTGTGTGTACAGAACAAATAAGAAAAGAAACAAATATTCTGTGTCTGTACTCACATATGCCAAGCGGAATACAAAGAAGAGCAAATATGGGTGCTTTAAAGCTGGAATCCTTAAAGGTAATTTACATTAATGTTTGACACACTGCTATTACACAGAAAATAACCTTCCCTCTTGCTGCTAAAATGCCCGTGCAATCGTACCCATTTAGTTCAGTACATACGCTTACCAGGAACGTTTGTTCTTAAGCCTAGAATTCACTTTCTCAAAGCTTGGAATTTACGGAAGATGGAAATGACCTTTTGCTTATTTTCTTAACTAGGGGGCGGAGGGGTCCCTTCTGCATAAACCCTTGCTCATTCTTTACGTTTTCATCATCTGTATCGCACAGGGGAGTTGGGAAGCTACAAGGTAAGAGATTCTCGCTCTTCCTGCTCAGTTTGCACTGAAACTGGACTTCCAGACCAGTTTGGCATTTACACCACTCAGTATCTGCTCCTCTCCAAAACATCGGAGCACTCAGGTTCCATTCAACAGTGAGAAAAATCTCCTCACCCCACGAGTAAACTGAGGAGAAAAAAAAAAAAAACCAACCCTCCTGGCGCTCTCCCTGAGTGAAGAAGGAGTGTGAGAGGGGACCAGGGACCCAGCAGGTCAGAAACCTCCATCATATCTTCCAAAGCTTGTGATCCCCTCTGCTATTTTCACCCCAGTTCAGTGAAAAAGACCGACATTTCCTATTTTCAAAGGAATCTTCGGCGAGAGGCATCCCACCTTTCGAGCTCCACCCTGCAGCCCCAAACGTGACCCTTCAAAACACAAAACCGCTGGTTCGCACCTCTTTTGCCTTCCCCTCGGCTTCCGCACACAAGAGCCGATATGCAAAGGTTCGTCTTTCTCATCCATAAGCAGGTTTCTCCTAGCTGGGTTTATAACTTGACGAGGCTGCAAACCTGCGCCTCCGCATCTGCACAAGCGGCTCTGCCACGCACACGGTGCAGGGTGGGCGAAGCGCGGGAGGGACTCGCCGCGCACATCTCGGCTGCTCTTGGTTTGCTGGAGTGATCCACTGTCGTCCTTAAGGGACTGCAGCAGCTAGAGGATTTATACCGCAATAAAGTTGAACACTTGCAGCTCGCGAGTGCTCCAGGACCTTGACTCGGCCCTCCCGGAGCGGAGCCCGCCTCACACCAGAGGACAGCGCCAGGTCCCAGTGACCTCTCGTTTTCCCCCCGTCTTTTCACCACCCGCCTTCCTCATTCGGGTGAGAACATGTTGACTCTGAATAGCTCATTAACACTATTAAGCCGACTCCAGGGCACGAGGAGTTCAGCATCCCCCCGCCC